ATGAATGAGTGGGTGAGTAAATGAGTGAGTGAGTGAGTGAGAGAGAGAGAGAGAGAGAGAGAGAGAGAGAGAGAGAATAAGAGAGATAATAGCTTATGAATAATAGAGAGATGACTTTACTTAAAAGGAGAGGAAATTAAAGCCTCAAATATCTTATCACAAATCTCTCTCTCTCTCTCTCTCTCTCTCTCTCTCTAAAACTAAAACTTAAATATAAAGATAAAAATGAGACCAAAAATCCATTACTTTTTTGTTGTTGTTTTAATTTCTTGAATTTGTTGTTGTAGTGATTGTCTGATGTCGTGGTATTTGTATTAAGACATCATTTTAAAAGACAAATATATATATATATTTATAAATATACACATATAAGTATAAATCATACCAAAAAAAGTGTGTATCATATCTCATATAAAATGAATGAAAATATGGATTAAAAATTATGGTTTGATTTTATTAAAACAAATGACTTGTTTAATGGTGAATGACTTTTGGGAATTTTTTTTAGATAAAAATACGAACAAATATATTGTATATGAAAAAGTATATATAATATATTTGATAAAACATTACATTTTCATATCTTTTTTTAGTGGTTAAACACACGACCTCTTTGAGACGGATGTGATCCATACTTATAGTCGATGGTTAAATACATATCATTGTCGGTGTATTTTTTTGGATGACATCAAACGACACGACTTATTGTAATCGGAACCGATTGGCCGTTAAGAATAAAGACGACTGCACTTAAATAACACACTTATATATATATACAGTAGATATAACTAATAATTTTATTCAGTATAGATTAACCATAGACTTTAAAAACACATGTTTTTTAAGTAAATTTTCAAATATATTTTTTTCTAAAAAATTATTAATAATATTTTAAATTAATAAATAACTATTGTTTAACTAAAAAAGCACACAAATATATATATATATATATATATATATAAATTATATACACAAATATTTCAACTGTATTTTAATGAAATTTATTTATTACTATTTATTTATATAAAACAAGTGATTATTTTGTCTCAAATAAGACTTATTAGACAACACATAGTATATTATATCGTTATAATATAATATTATTATTTTTATTATGAAAATTGTAATAATGAGATCCAATAGCTTTTTATGGTTAATACTGTTAGTTGTTTGCTATTCTGTGCTTTTAATCGGTTAATAACCAACACTGAAAAATGTTTTAATAATAATATATTAAGACTAACTTGTATTTTCATTATATATATATATATATATATATATATATATTATTAGTATTAGTAACAGTGAGTGAGAGAAAAAAAATAAAGGAAATTGGTCTCAATAAGGAAGTTTGCAAGGACTACATGATCAGCATCAGCGCCAGTATGTAACACAACATACCAGTGCCAATATGTGTGCATAAATAATAAATTATTTGTATGTTTTATTTTATACTGTATATATTATTTTATATATATATAGTATATTGATATACTGTATAATATTAATGAACAGTGTTTTATAGTGATTGATTTATACACATATTTACTTTGACTACAAAATAAAGTTATTGATTCACAGACACACACACATACACATACATACAGCTGTCTATTTAGTCTACTAAATGGTTAGATATTTATAATACGATATATATTCAAATGGTATGACTCATTAGTTTTATTATATGAGACAACATAAAATAAAATGAGAAAACTCCCAATTTTTGTTAAAAACTAGACCCACCAGTGCTACCAATTAGTGGGTTGTAAACGGATTGGGTAATATAGATAAGCTAATATTCTATGGGAAACTTAATCCAAATTTATTTGAATCATAAATTTTATATTTTTGAAATGAAACTCAAACATTATATTATTTGAAACAAAGTTGTCAATTGAATGGCATATTCACCCCCCGATTCCCACAATAAACAATTGAATTGAAACTGTATGTTAGGACTTACCATTGATGACAGATCTAACATAGTTATGTGTGATCTGACACTTTTGATTACTATATATATATATATAGTTAGAAATAGATATAATTTATTTATTTATTTTTTATTTATTTTCCTTATAAATCTTTTCTTTATGATCACAGTTACAATAGGATTGGTTAATAAAAATCATTTTAATGTGTTTTTCACTTCTATTATCAATTATATATCAAATTCATAACCATTTCAGTGCATTGTTTAGTTAAGTGAACTAAAATAAATTTTGATTTTATTATTATTATTTATTAGTCTAATTTAAGCATTTAATACATACAATAAGTTTATGTAAACTTTATTATTATTATCAATAATACTGTATTTATCAAATTGTTTACTACACTAAAAACATCGTTGTAATGATTCATTAATTAGATAATTTGTTTTTTAAAAAAGAAAAAACAATTAATTTTTGTGTTATATATTGAAAGTCAAAATGAAATTACAATAAGTTTAAATCATAAATATATAAAAAAATATTTATGATTAAAACTACTACCAAAAAACAAATGCAATTTATTTAATGTATTTCTTGTTTTTTCTAAAGAGTCCCAAATGATTACAAAAACGCAATCTTTAAATGCAAAATATTTTTCAAACAATAATATAAAAATATTTTTTGTTTGAAAAATATTTTTCAAATTATTGTTGTTAAATTATAACATCCTTTTAATGGGAAACTATGTACAGAGATTGAGTGAGTGAGTGAGTTAGTATGTTTGTGTGTGTGTGTGAGTGAGTAAGTGAGAAAGAAAGAAAGAGAGAGAGAGAGAGAGAGAGAGAGAGAGAGCAACAAAATAAAAAGAAATTTTTAATACAATATTATATCAAACATTTGCATTCAAATTCTGAAAAACAATATATAATTTAAAGTAAATTTTATTCAAAAAATATTATTTTATAAACTATATATTAAACTCTTAAAATACATAAAATATAAAATATATACACAACTTATACAGTAGTTTTTAGTAATAGACATATAATTTTGAGTATATTATTTTTAAACAAACAAAACATATGATATATAATATTTTTGTTGAAAAGTTTTTTTATTTTGAAAATTGTGAGACACAAGACATAAGACATACCTTTGTTTGTAAAGTGTGTGCAAAAGGAGTGATCAGTTGTTTAGTGAATTGGTTCTTCATTTTCATTGTCTTCACTCATCATCTCATCACAGCTCCAGCTTTGGTCGCTCTCTAACAACACTGTTAGCAGACATTTCCATTTGTGCCTAACTTTCCATTTGTTATATAATTTCTATATGTTTTTTGTCTCTCAGCCGCAGCACTACTTTTCTCTCCCTGTTCTCCATTAGCTCCGTTCACAACCTGGTTCTCCATACAATCTCTCTTCTCTCTCTCTCTCTCTCTCTCTCTCTCTCTCTCTCTCTCTTTCTCCCCATTTCTGTCTACTTTATTGTAAACTCATTGAATGCTTTTCTATAGTTTTACCCAATTTTTAGTGTTCTTCGGTATAGTCCTTAGAGAGCCATACATTAAACAGAGAGCACAGTCAGACTGCGGGGCGAGTGGTGATCGAAATTTAGGTTTTACATACAATCACACATATATATATAACCAGCTCTGACATACATATGAGCACCCGGTGGTCCCACTATCTCCATGACGACAACACCATCCGTTGAGTTTGCTCTCATAGTAGTAGTCTCTCATATAAACCTATTATTTATACCAATCACTTGGCACTCTCCTCAATAGCATCCATAAGCTCTAACCACTGGCTCTCAGGCATCTCTCTCATCTCTCTCTCTCTCTCTCTCATCTCTCTCTCTCTCTCTCTCTCTCTCTCTCTCTCTCTCTCTCTCTCTCTCTCTTTCCCTTCACGTCCTCTCCTTCAATAGCATTCATATGGATAGTTCAGCCATAAATGTGTACAAAATTTTTCATTTATAATAACCAAAGTCTAACATCAAATGAAAAAACAAGAGAAACATAAGAAATGTATTAATTTTTGATTCATTCAATTGGATTAATACGTGTCATAATATATGAAATCACATATCATATACAGTATATATATATATATATAAGAAAACAAAAATAATTTTAAATCTTATAACACATTTATTTATTATTAATTTATTGCAATTATTGCAAAAAACAATTTCAAATAGATTCGTATAAATTTTAGTAATAGTTTTTAAAGATTTATTTTGTTGTAAATTAAAATCTATCATTATTTTTCAAATGATAACTTTTTATACAATATACAGTATATATATATATAAGTAATATAAATAAATATTTTCAATGATAATTTTATATATATATAACAAGTGTTTTGCATTTTAGTTTGTTTTTAAATATCATTTTGTTTTAATAATATTTATTAAATAGAAAACTAATTTTATTTGAATGAAAATGAAATTATATTATAATAATGGCTTAATGACATGTTCAATGAAAACATATGGTAAACAATTAATAATCATAATAATGATAATAATAATATTTATGCCACAATAAAACAATAGATATAACAAAACAGTTGAACTCAAAAAATTAATCTCAAGATAATAATAATAATAAATAAACCAAAATGGAGGTCAAAATGTTTGAATTTAAAGAAACTTCTAATTATTTCAATAAACTTAGATAACCTTAAATTTAATAATTATAATAATATAATAATAAACCAAATACAATACATATTAATTAACGATAGAAAATATCAATTGTAAATAATAATAATAGTTATACTAATAAGTATACTTAAAATCAATCAGTAATTAAATATTTTAGATATAATTAAATTAAATCAATTTAAACAAGAAAATACATATTTATATAATTAATGATAAAAAACAAATTGTATGTATGTATGGAAAAACATAATTCATAAGAAAAAATTGCATTAAATTGATGTTCACATATGAAAAATGTTGATTCAAAATACATTTATAAATTAGTTGTTCAAATGAAAAATTGTTTTATGAAATTATACTTTAAATGCCAATTATATGAGATTTAAATTGTTTATTATTAAATGGCTTTATATTTATGGTATCTTCGGTAAGGTGTCGAATCCTCTTTATCGTTGACCACTTTGACCGACTTAGGACTGACAGTCGATTTGGACTGTTGTGAGGCAGCGTTGGCCACCGCTGTTGTCGTTTTGGTTTCCTTTCTGCTGGTAATGGCGTTCAGTGCTGTTAATAGGTTGTCATCGCTGGTCAATAACCAATCGTCGAGCAGTGATTGTTGCGCTTCAGAGCTGTTCGCTTGTAACCACTTTTGATGCCATTTGTTAAACTTTGTATACAAACTTTGCGTCACTTTTTTATGAGACTATTTTTTTAATGATAAACGAAACAAACAAACAGTAAGATTAGTTGTCTTCACACAACAACAATGCAAACCAGACTATTCAATAGGACATACCTTCCGGGCCTTAGATATGGAATTTTTACGATACATAACGGACTCGCTTTGGACAAACACTAACTTAAACTTCGATACATCAAACTTACACTCAATATTCTCGGAAACATCGGTCGTATTCAATGCCTTTTCAAGCGACTCATCAGAGTTGGTGTCCATCTTTTCTTCGCTTTTATTCGTGTCTTTGTCTTTGTCGTCAACTTTTGTTTCATTTTCTTTATTATTTCTATCATTTCTTTTAATTTCAGATTCTCTATCAAACAGATTTTCTCTTTCATTTTTCGTTCTCGATTTAAATGATTGAATATTTCTATTCAAAAACAGTGGTCTATGCGACCGCTTTTCGGCATCGGACTCGTCGCCCGTATCATTAGATTCTGTATCTATCATATCAATGGTTACTTTTCCTTCAGTCTTATAAAAGATAAACTTAAAACAATTTTCATCGCATAATAACTGTTCAATTTTCTTCTGATATGAAGCCTCTGCTAGAAGTCTGTGATGGACTGTCGCACAACAGCCACCTGTGCCACCAGTTTTCGTTTCCTCACCGAACAGATCAGTACATTGAATACAAGTTTCATCGCAAACAATATGTTGTAACTAATAATTTATAATTAAATTTAAATTTAGAAAAACACAATTAACCGTAAAATGTTAGCACAATCGACATACCTGTCTGACTATATTTTGAACAACTTTGTCGAGTGTAAAGGCTATGTAGGCGTAAATACCAAACATTTCCCTTAACATGTCTTCATATTGATTTGCATCGAGATTACCATCTAATAATTGTTTTACCATATCTATAAATGCTGGAAAAAAATCATCCACTTCTATTTCATCTAATTATATAATTAACAACAAAAAAAATCAAATTAATTAATCAATTAGTGAACCATTAATTAAAGATAAATCAATTACTATTTGGTCTCAGTCTGAGTGACTGAGATGTCGATGTCTGTGATTTGCGTTCGAGTCTTTCCTTTGCTTCTTCTGCGGCCAAAATGTTAGCCCTTTCGTACATTTTAGCCAATCGTTCGCATAGAATGTAATGCAATCGGAAGAATAAATACCAATTGTTGTTAACATAAAATAGTGAATACATTTCATTGGGATCGTTGTTCAACATTTGATGAGTCTTTTCTTCATTTGCTGATTTGTCCGGTTTATTGCCTTTTAAAATCATTAACTAATTAGTTTAACTATCAATTAATATGACAATCGAAAGACTTACCAGACGTAGCATCAGTTGACTCTTTGTTGGCATTATCTCCTTGTTTGACATTTTCGGTCGGTTTTGTTATTGAATTATCAGATTTTTCTTTTTCTTCTTCAGTATCATCTATTTCATCGTCCGATAGATCACCTCTTGGTGTGGCAAACAAATCGGGTATAAATTGTCGCAATAATTGTTTAATCTTTTGCTTATCGTCTTTATGAATAGATGTCTGTCTCTTCACGTGATGTATAATTAAATTACACGACTCTTCTATCATCGACTTGTCTTTATAGGTAAAGCTCATGAGTGGTTGTTGTGAATCGATGGCATCCGGATGTGTCTCACTTTGTTCGTGTCGTTCCTCGTAAATGGTTTCGATTTCGTTGAGCAATGATTTGGAGCGCAAGAACTTGATATCGTTTTGCTTGAAACTGATGCCCTGATGGTCGAGTGATTTCAGATAATACTTTTCATTTTGATCCCTCCATATCTTATTAAACTGTTTGTATGCTTCTCTCCATTCCTCTTCCTTCATCATTAGCCGTCGTATGACAAGTGGTACGGCAACTGCAGGATTCTTCTTGAGACCTGTTTATCACAATAACATTAATTTGTTTAATGAATTTGTATCTGAAATTAAGATAACACTTCAAAAACAAACCTTCAATAATCTCTTGTGCTTTGTCTCCATATATTCTTTTAATAGCTTTTTGATGAATGACAGATGAAGTACCACCTAATGTATCGTCCAATTTATATCTGCCCCTATCCTCGGCGGTCATTCGGGACATCTTTTTCTGGACCGCTTCTAATACTCTAATTGTTGCCAAATTGGTTTCTAAGACAACATCTAATTCGTAGCGTTCATCTTCGCAACGATATATATATTCTTCGTATTGTGTTTTACGTGACGAAACAAATGTCGAGTCCTCTGACCACGAAGGAAATGAAACCCAAGTATCGTTCAACACTTCACGACAAAGTGGTGTACGACCCGAGCACTCAGGTTTAACATAGTTGCGTGGGAGAGCTCGATATGAAGCACCGTATCGTTTACAGGAACTGTAGTCAATTTCCAATCCCATCTCAGAATTCATTCGTTCGCGTTCTCGCTCTCGAATAGAGGCCACTCGATGGGAGAGACCCTCTAATGGCATGGAATGTTTCGGTGTCAATGAGTTCTGGTTGTTAACAGCATTGACTGAAGCGGAGGCACCCTCTTTATAGCCGAGAAAATCTTTAAACCATTTCAATAATTCGGGAAATTTGCCCAAAAACGGTGTCACCAATTGAACCAACTCTACGCGCGACAATATTTCATGATTATATAACACAAGACATCTCAAAAAGTTGTCATAAACTTCGAGACTTCGCAATGCTTTGCGGACCTAAATTGGTATAAATAAGACAAATGGGTTAATATAAAGTTGAAAAAACATTTAAATACCTTATCGAAGAAAGCAAACTCGTTGAGCGAACCATACTTTCCGGCTTCGGCTAATGACACGTCTCGAAGTGATGTCATTTTCTGTCGCTATTAAAATAAATAAAATACCGGTAAATATCAACTAAAAAATAGTTAATAATAATAATACTTTAACAGAAAGATGAGGACTCTCTTGTTGTGATCGCTTTTGCGGTTGAATACGCGATTGAAACGGTTGATTAAGCAACGGTCGGCCAGGGTTTGGCTTCTTAGTCAAAACAGTTGTGTGATCGCTATTAGCTGGATGAGTGACCAAACCGTCAACTTGATGGGCCAATGGATGACCAAATGTGACGGGCATATTACCTGTAATTTGACGAGCCGGCGATCCGGGCGGCAAACTTGGGCCGGTACCGCTAGCGTCCGGCAAAAATTGGCTAAACTCTTGGAGCAGATCTTCTTGATTTTGAAACAGTTTGGCCACTTGTGTGAACACTTCGGTTTCGGTCAACATTTTTTGGCCGTGAATTGCTGTACCTATATTTAGAAAATAATTTTTTTAAAAATTTTTAACTCAATTATTAAACAAAGAAAAAGTGATTTAATTAAAAAAAGGAAAGTTTTTCCAATGATTTGAAGTTTTTTTTAATACTTAACAATCATATGAACTAAACTTATTACTGAATTATTATTATACAATCCCTCTAGCATTTGGTATCGACTGTACTATCAATTAGGGGGTCTTATAATGATTACAATTGACAGCCAATCAAAGCAATGACAGGCAATGGTATGAAAAATCTGAGCTCTTGTTTAATGGCAGAGAGATTGTTATGAGGAGAGAGAGAGAGAGGGATAGAGAGGAACGGTATGTAATGGCATACTATGTGGCAATCAATCGGACAAATAAACTAACTATCTTTACCTTCTTTAATACTTCGCTGTTCCTTCTGATACGTGTGCAATATCTCCAGAAATTGTTTATAGATCTCTGGCTGTCCCTGAAATCGGTTTTTAATTTTGTTAACATAGTTGATGGCATGATTGAACTCTACGGGTTGGGTAGCGTTGTTGTTCACGGCAGCCGTACTGTTGGCCGCACCGTTGGCGGCAATCGATGCATTGCTTTGGTCACCAGCACCTGTTGTCATACTTGTCGGCTGTGTTGTTGTTGTTGTCGTTTGATGAGGTATGTCGTGATGAGCGGTGCCTGTCGTGGCAGCGGTTCGCTGATTGGCCGCATTAATAGCTACATTGATGGCCTGTTGGTGAGTCGCCTGTGTAGTAGTAAATGTGGTGGCCGGTTGGCTGCCTTTTGGTAAAATAACTGATACCTGATGTTGAGGTACAGTCACGATTGTTGATGTTGTTCCAATTGGTCCGCTCGACATGATAATAGTGTTGGATGAATTAGGCATCGATACATTTACCTAACGGTGCGATCGCAATCAAATAATAATAATTGGTATTATCTGTATGAATGAACAGAACAGTAAAGCTTGAATGGGTCATCACATACCTGATCGTTGGAATGCATCTCAATCTTATAACCGGGCGGTAAAAATGTATTGAAACCTACAATGAGCTCCGGGTGTCCCTTAAACAGTGTGGACACTCTCTGTATGACACCGGGTGTGTCGATCGACTGTGATTTAAACTCTTTCATTATGTCGAGAAAGTCATTGTAGACTTGTGGCTGATTGTTGAACTTAAACTTAACCTGATCCAAGTAGGACAGTGCGTCCTCTACCTGTTCATAGACAAAGAAAAAGAGAGTAATAATTATGTCAACACATTGTCGATGATGTCAATTATGGTAATCAACTAAATCATTGGTCACAAAGTCTATACCTTTAAGCGCTGGAACTGTTGCTGCTGTTGTTGTTGTTGCTGCTGCTGTTGTGCGGCCGACAGTGCCGTCATGTTGATCGTGGTCTGACCGGTCGTCTTAATAGTCAATTGCTGTGGCTGTTGCTGACCAGTAGCCGAAATCGGACCAGCATTTGATGGCTGGCCGCTCAATGGTGGCTGAGATGCCAGAGTCGGTACTATCGCCGGATTGACGGACGTCGCGTGAATAGACAGCGGCTGATGTGCGGCGTTCAATACATTGGCTGTCTGTAGGCCACCAGTCGGTGCTATTGTGGACATATTGAGTGCGGCGCCGATGTGACCGCTCGGCGGCAAACTTAGACTTTTTGAATAATTGTTTACACTTTTGTCGTCCATTTCACACAACAATAACACAACAGTCAGTCAATCACTACATTACTGACTATAATATACTATTGAGACATACATTCAAATACTAAGTCTAACATTAAATTACATATACTTTACTATAATATATAATACATAAAGTATGTGTCAATACAGCCATTAGTATTAGCCATACATTTGTTGTAATTTCACTCACAATTCAATCCATCCAATAATACATTCGAGTCCTACTATTGGCTCAATGCCTATAATACTGTTAATGCTAGACAATACTTTTCAAATAAAACGTTACAACTATAACATGGGGTTAGAGTGTGAAGGAGAGAGAGAGAGAGAGGTTTGAATCATAGAATGTAAATGTAATTGTAATTTACAAACAAAATGTACTAATTGTAAGTGTGTTGAGTGTAACGTTGTTTGTGTGTTGTCTGTATTGTTGTATATATTAACACTACTTTAATATCAGCGGTGCTGTCGAGGCGTGCGTTTCATTGAAGACATTGTATGAACTGATAGTTTATATAATAAATAACAACAATTTGTTGACTAAATTATCACCGATTAACTGATCCAATCACATAATAATGACCAACACTGTTACCCAACAGAAACCTGAAGCTGAGATCAAGGCTGAACAGGAAGGTTAGTAGTAGTAGACAATTGACAGTCTCTTAAAAATATCTTAAAAATTGATTGATTTCAACACATGATAACTGATTGCCTGTTTGTTGTTATTTTTTGTGACCATTGTTTAGGTTCGGCCACAGAGTCAGACTCTGAGGAGAATGATTCGGACGAAGTGCCCGATTTGACTGATGCCGACGGCAAAGACAAGTCGGCCGACGCCAGCAATGCATTGTTTGACGAAAGCGGATCAAAAGCTAAACAATCGAGAAGTGAGAAGAAGGCGCGCAAAGTTATGTCCAAATTGGGTCTCAAACAAGTGACAGGTGTTAACCGTGTGGCCATTCGTAAGTCGAAGAACATACTGTTCGTAATCAACAAACCAGATGTCTATAAATCACCCGCAAGTGATACATATATTGTGTTCGGTGAGGCAAAGATCGAAGATTTGTCACAGAAGGCTCAGATGGCCGCAGCCGAGAAGTTTAAAGCACCCGAAGCCGGTGCCGGAGGTTTGGCCAGTGGTCTAGAATCTGTTGCGCCGGGTATTAATCAACCGACAACTGCACCGATTGCTGAAGAATCTGATGAAGACCAGGAATTGGATGAGAGCGGCGTTGAGGCCAAAGACATCGAGTTAGTCATGTCTCAGGCGGGTGTCAGTCGAGGAAGGGCTGTAAAGGCACTCAAGAATAACAGCAATGACATTGTAAATGCCATTATGGAGTTAACAATGTAGTGACCATTGAGACCAACTGACCACTCAATTCTGTCACATAATTTAATATCAAATGACTGTTAATTCGTTTACGTTTTTTTAAAAAATATAATAATTTTTATTTCACTTACGGTAATAATTATTATTGAATTGTATGAAATAACATTAAATATTAATAATAATAATAAAATGATTTTAATGATATACCTTAATACAATGTTTTGGTTATAATATCGTTAATTTACAGTACATAGTATGCATACCCCGGATAAACTTAAAACCTTAAATTGTTTTACAATAAGGTGTACACTATAATTAACAAATACATGCAAAGGCGTTATGAAAATTTTATGAATTGTTTTATTTTTGTTGTTTTTTCAATTGAAACATTACAAACATATTTAATTTATATTAATTTACATTACGATAATATTACTGTATATATATATACCGGTATATACAGTATATAAAAAAAATGAAAGGAATGTTTTTAATATAAAAAAAATTAATTTAAAAACTTGCATTCAATAGGAAGTACTAAATAATTCAATTACGATATAATTTATAACATTACCATTAGTAATGATGTGCCGCTTTTTTATACAAAAATTAAAAAGCTATGGTATTTGACAATTTTAAATAATAATAATAATAATACAAATTATGATAGTTTATATCAATTATAATTGACCCTAAAATCAAACAATATTTTATTTATGTTATTGAATAATGTTAAGACGTTTATGAATTTTTATTTTGTTGATCCAAAAGGAAAATCATTTTTTAAAAATTTCTATTCTTCATCAATCAATCCTCCATTTCCTCCATACGACAGTGTATTGTTGTGTCGACCACTTCAAGACTGGCGTAATCTAGTTCTTTGATTAGACACAAGACGGCCGACAATATGTTTGCATTCTGTGTCAAACAATTAGTTAATTAGTTTAATTAAAAATCATTTATAATTAATTTATATATCTATTAATTAATTATGTAAATTATGAATACCCTATGTTTTCCTCCTTTGGGAAGCAGTCGCGGAGCGGAACCGTTGGGTGCGCTCGATATACGACCGATAGTATTATTACGGGACTGGGAGTTCATGTTATTATTATTATTATTATTATGCTGTTCGTAGTGGTCTATCGGACCCAATACTGCTTGAATGGCTGAACCTAAGATTCATTTAACAAATTAGAAAAATTAATTTTGCAAATCTAAAATTGCATAATAAATATCGACAAAAGAATTTTAATCTAATTAATATTTTATTTTTAATTAAATAAAAAAATTTTAGGTTAATTAAAATAGTTAAAGGCTAACAACCCTTTAATGTAAAAGTTAAAAAATTAAAATTAATAATATAATAATAAATAATAATCAGGTTAATATCAACTATAAACTAAATAACGGTAATTCTCATTTAATTGAAAACAATTTTGTCATTTATACGAAAACATCATTAAGTATATATTTTTCGTGGGAATCACCCATTGGTTTAACCATTTGTAATACTGTATATTTACTGTATATAATATATTATATATAAATTATATTGAATTCATTAAATTTGTTATTTTTGTTTTGAAATTTACATTGAATACATTAATTTTATGTTAGAAGCACTATATCAATAAATTACAATAATAAAAAAATAAGCATGCTAAATTAAACAATACTAGACTTTAATAAAATGTGATATTAACAACAAAAACAAAAATACAGTATAATTTCTATTGTATTTTAATTTTTACAATTTGTCGGAAAAATTTGGCCCAAAATTATTTATATAAAATATAACATTATTACCGGCAATAAAAATGTTGTACAATATTATTATTATCTCAAAGTGTTGTCATGTGTGTGGGGGTATTGCATGTAAAAAACAATTATTGTAATCATCAAATAAAATAAATATTTTGACATTTTTTTCAGGTTTATTACATTACATTTTTTTATATTTATTTATTTTCTATTACAAATAGTTTTATTATTTTATTTATAATATAATAATAATTGTTTAGACTCTCGGTTTGTGACCTAAATCTGTATTAAATCTTTTCAGCAAAAAAATCTAGTCTTTAAATAAAAATCAAAAACACTTTGAGACACAATAACCTCAAACTTGGGTGACGACCTTATAGTTTAAAAAGATATATAAACTTTTTTTTTAAGGATGAGCTATAATTTTTCAGGTATATTACAAAAATAATGAAAAACTTTTTCAAGCACTAGTTTTTTTTGGGGGGGATTTTAAAATAGCTAATTATAAATTATTGTATTTATTATTGTAATAAGACTGGTGTATAACTAAAAAAAAATTACTAATTAAATATTATAAGTCATAAAAATTCAAGTTTTCTGTTGTGTTAATTCAATAGATATTTTTCAAAACAAATAGAAATTAGTTTCAATTTAATGATTTTGAAAAGTCATTAAAACAAACAAAAAAGTTTTTTTCTAATTTCGTATGATTTGTAAAAATGTAAAATAAACTAATGTTTTTAAGTTAAAACTAATGTATTTTATAGTATTTAAAAAAAATTAAATCATTTATTACAACATATTTTATTTACCGTATTATTATCATTATCAATATTACTTAAAGTAAGATGAATACCTAAGATAAGCATTATATACCTTAATTTTATTTTAGTAATATTAATAATAAACTACAAACAAAAATATAATTACAAAAACAAAATACAAAACAATTAAGAGACTGGAAAAAATTAATTTTAAATCTATTTAAAAGAGTTGAAATATTATTTTTCAACCGACAAAACAAAAATAAAAAATTTGTTTTTAATAAAATTGATATTTAGATATATGATTTGGGTTGAAATCTACACGAAATACATTAATTACAATTGACTTTTACAGTATATTTTATTTTTATACACTATATTTGAATTGCAATTAATTATAATTAATAATAAATTGAGTTCAGACACACTAATGAGTACCAGTATATATATATATCAATTATTTCATATATATATATATATATATATATATAGAAAGATTGTCATTGATTAAAATAATTATAATTACATACCATTGTAAAGATTATAATCGGACAGTGAGTTTGATTTGATCATTGTTTGACTGCGCTTCTGGAGCTGTGGTGTCGTCTCAATTGGCGATATATTTGGTGATGAGTTTTGATGGGTTAGTGGCATATGCATCGGCTGATGATAAGCAGTCCCATTGCCGTTTGTGTTAGTCATTATGATTTCTTGCATCGGCTGTATTGGCGGCTGTGGTGTCATTTGGTATGTTTGGGCTATCGGTGCGCTCATCGGCATTGCCTGCGGAGCAACCATTTGCGACTCTTGTGGTAAGATCTGTTGATTCACTTCCTCATTATCTTCTTCTTCGACATCGCTAACTCCTGGCCACTGCAGATCATAGCCCTCTCTCTCAGCTTTTATCAGATCGTCGGGAGTGACTCTGTAGATGCGGTTTAGATAAATATATTATAAATATTATTAGAAAAAGATAACCTTAAAAGATAAAAAATAATAATAATCAGTTTTCGTGTGTCAGACCTGGTGTTATCCAGCATTTCAAGATTGGGAAGCGCTTTAAGGACAGTCGACCTGTAATTATCAAAATCGGCGCACGGATTCTCAGCCAACCATAGCTTCTTGAGGTCGGGAAGGTCTACTAAGTATAGTATTTCGTTGATGTCTTGTATCTTGTTTTGCCGAAGATACAGTTCCTGTAGTGATCTACAGGTGGCAAAGTCACCCAATGTTGTAATATTGTTGATGGATAGGGACAGCACCTCCACGTTGGGCAGCCTTTGGACAATCGATACATCTTTCAGATCACTTCCCCTGTTTATCGTTTAAGTTTACCATTCAATTATTAAATTGAGTTATTAAAAACATACTAATATTAGTATATATTAGTAATTTTTTTCGATTAATTGATTTTTTCTAAATATGATTTATAATGATATTTAAATGACATTTAAAATATTAAAATGCAAAACTATATAAAAATAAATATAAATTATATAATAGCGCCTATGAGCTAATATTAAATAATTTGATATCAAAAATAAAAAGGGAATAAAAACCGGATTTTAACGTTATTTTGATTGATAGTTATATATTGAGAAAAAAAGTTATTTAACTTCAATATAATATAAGTGACTATAAATATCCAAACATTTCTATAATATAAAATTTATACTATAAATACTGTATATGCCCTTAAAAAATATGTTATCATTATATTATTATTTTTATATCAAACGTTTAAATATAAAATCTAATGCCATTATAATATTAGTTTTGTTATTATTATTATTATTGAATTATTATAAAAAAAAGTGCAATTTTTATATAAATTTAATTATTTTCTCAAAGTCTACAACAGCGTAAAAATAAGACTAAAATTATTATAATTATTATTAAATAGTATACTAAATATATTATTATTTTTAAAAATTGAAGTCATACTCTTAAAAATGCAAATTTGATAGTTTTATATCTTATGATTGATATGAATGTAATTGTCTAATAATTATAAATATCAACAACAAAAAAACAAACTGACATTAAATAATAATAACTACTTTAGATTTGATAAAACTATTAAATAAAAATTTATTTATTTTTAATTTCCAACAATCCTTTTGATTAACACATAAAGTATTTTTTATTTATAATTATGATTAGATATAATAATTATCATTATTTTGTTTTTGTTGATAATAAGTGTATTGTGTTTCAATTGTGAAAGACAATAGTGCTATGACTTATAATGGGATTTGTAACTTAAGATTTATTTTTTGTGAAAAATACAATACAACACATTATTATGTAATAGTATTTTATTTCATAAATAAAACAAATATATGATAATTACAATCAAATAATACGATTAGTTTATTTTGTTGTTGTTGTTAGTGGTATATAATTACACAACAATATTATTGCCAGCATTTATGAGGTACATGAGTCACACACCATCATCTAAAATGATCATTAAATATTAGGTATGGGTTATAATGGCAACTAAAATAACGGATCGATTTTTATCGATCCGACTGAAAGAGAGAAACACAGGCATAGAGAGAGAGAGAGAGAGAGAGAGAGAGAGAGAACTTTAGACAACATATCATATAAAATACCGGCATTTCCTTTGATTAGGTATATAGTAGTCCTGTCTATTTGAAGATCTGCAGAGCATATCATAGGGTTTGTCAAAAAATGATGGTGTTTTTGGCATATACTGTATGCACACACCGGGAGGACACATATGGACCCTCTCTTATGTAATATTTAAAGTCATGTCATTTTATACACATTTAATTTTTCACCTGTCATTTAATGTGGAAAACGCCCTTTATTACTATTTGGCGGATACCCCCACCCCTCTCAACAAAAATTTAATTACCCATACAATTACATGACTTGTTATGTTAAATTAAAAATTCAAATTATATATATATTATAAAATTTAATTAAATTTATTATTTTTTTGGATATACATTACCAGCAATTAAGGCGTTTAACAGCTCGCAAGTCCTGTGATCGGGTCCGGCTTAGGACCACATTTTCGGTTAATGCCGACATCACTAAAGTGTTGTTAGTCTCACAAACCAAATCGATATTATATTACAATATTTTTATTTTTGAAAAATAATAAAAATTATTTTCAGTTATTATATTTTGTTTGTATGGTTTTCCCTTTGCAAACAACGGTAATGATAATATAGTATTATTATTATTATATCATATATTTTACGATATTATTGGGTAAACAATTAGATTATTAATAATAATAAGTTATCAAAACCACAACACATACAATATATCTTATATTTTATGAATACAGTAAATGATATTATTATTATTATTATTAATGACTATAGATTTTCACAAAATAATAATTATATTTTCCAAGTTTATAAATAATACTTTATATGAATTTAATAATATGTTAATACACTAATAATATTAATATTTTCAATGAATAATTTTTTTTTAATTAAATATTTGAAATAAAAAACAGAAATTATTCTTAAAAATAATAGTTTAAACAAAAATATATTTTTTTAATATACTCTTATAAATAAAATAAAAACACAAAAAATATTTATAAAATATAACAAATAATAGGACTTAAATTGCAATATATTTAAATTGAATTTATTATAACATTAAAATAGTAATTTATGTCAAATAAATAATACATATATTATTAAATCTATATTTTAAAAAATATCACAACAAAATTAATTGCAACTAAAATTCAAAATTTTATTTCATTTATTATATAAATTATAATAACTTTTTTTTGTTATTTTATTATTTCAATTCAATTCGTTTCGCTTTCAGTGACAACAAAATAAAATTAACAAAAAAACTAATATTAATATGTTTTTAAATCACAATATTTTATGAAAAAAATACTAAAAATAATTTATTTAACACTTGATAAAATTATTATTATTATTTTATTATCAGTAAATCATAATAATTTTCAATTGTCTTAAAATAATAATAGTTATAATAACGTATGATTTTATCAGTAAAGAAAAATTATTGCAACAAATAATTTAATAGCAATTATTTATATCATATTAAGTGATGATTAGATATAATGTGTTAGAGAGAGAGAGTGTATTAAAAACACGAAAATTAAGTTATTATTTAATTATTATTTTATATATTTATATTTAATTTTTTATCATCAAAAAAAATTATTATTATTATTTGATTGTCATATATAGTCATCAGACTATACAATGTATATATATAATAAACACACACAAAATAAAACACAACTCAAGTATTATTATTATTATTATTATTAAATTATAAGCACAGGTATGTAAGCGTATGTATCTATCATAAGACAACTGGCCTTTAATTAATACGACAATAACTATCAATGAAAAACAGTGATGTAATCAGTGGTGGGATTCATTGGATAACCATATTTAGTAATCACAATATTTTTTTAATGCAATAATCGTTTTATTAATATATTTATAAATTGTATATTTTATATGATATATAATATACAGTACATGTGTTATGAATAATATATTTAATGAAATAATAATAAAAAGGTATTTAAAGGCAAAACACTTGTCAAATATATATGATATTTAGGTTTATATTTATTATTACTCTTATAATGACTGGCAATGATTAGACAATAAGTTTTTTTTAGTGACAATATTATTATTTTATAAGTTAAGCACTAGTTTATGATATTATATTTGAGGTGACAGTTCAATCAATATTCAATAATCATTGATTATTACAGTACTATAGTTGTTGTTGTGGTTAATGTCCACTAAATCTCCAGACATTTAAACGACATTAACCGTAGAGTAGAGTGTATTTCATACATACATACAGTGCTATGCAATACATGCTATCGATATAATAGAATATATAGTACTGTATGTGATATCAGTCACTCACACATATACTTCACACACACACTGTGTTGTTGTTGTTAACTGTGTTTATGTTTAATACCATAGTATTAGACATTAGGAGGTGAGGACTCTCAGTAGTGTTCAGGTCATGAATGACACGATAGAGGAGAGCACTGGCATACAGTGTGTATGACTTACCGTATGGAATGGTAAACACCGAATGCATAGCACTGTTAGCTATTATTATTATTACAGTATTATTACTATACCGTAGTATTATTCCGTATGAATACATGTTTTTCCACTTTGGGTTTATATATAATTTTTAATATATTCAAAACTCATTCATACAATTTGTTTTTAGGGCTCTATATATATACAGTATATACTATACATAGTGTAGTAAATAGTGGTATAACAGTGTTTTTTTGCTGATTTAGGACCATCCAGTTTTCAATGAGAGCACAGGTAGCTTTACCTGTATTTCCCTTCCCTTCCCTCTCATCCCCCTATCTTCACTGCTAATTGTGTTTATTGACATAAGTTTGTCGTTTTCTCAATAATTTCTGAATAATATTTATTTTTTATGTATTTTTTCCCCTAATTTCTATATATTGATATACTAGTTTAGTTATGTAATTACAAGTTGTATTATATATCACATTTTAGTTCAATTGACAATTTTAAAGCAAACAAACAGTGAAAAAAATGTTAACTTTTTTTTATATCTCTGTAGTGTATATTTTGTAATTTTAGAAAACTTATTATAAATTATAGATACTATATATTCAATAATAGAAATATTTGAGATTTATTCATAGACTTTAGTAAAAACTTTTTTACTTTACGTTTAGTTGACTCAATTATTATAATAAAAATTGTAATATTTATTAACATTATTAACTCTATATAGTGTAAGATACTGTAGTTATACTATAAATCTTAGAAATGGTATGTAGTATTGTAGAGAAGTACCGGTAATTGTAATTGTTTGTGAATATAGTGGGGGTGACGGTTGGCTGAATTAAAAGGTCAACCCTTAATATTTAATTACATTTTAATCATACTGGTTTATTGCTTGTTTTGTTTAGTAACAAAAAAAGCAAATATTAAATAATGCTTATTAAATAAACATTGAATTGGGCACCTGTATATATATTTTTTTATATATAGGAATGAGTATATTTATCAGTGTTTTATACAGTACTGGATTCAGTTTTATAGTGTATTTATTTAGTACAATATATTATTAGTGTTGTTGTTTAAATTTTTTTATAGATAATAATGTTTTCTTTATAAATTCTATATTAAATCTAATATTAAATGTAATAAAATGTAAAATCTATATACATGTATGTTTTCAAATATCAATATATAAATTTACAATTATAGAATAGGTTCATAAAAAATGTAGACTTTATAATATTGATAATTCAATTGATCAGTTGAAGTACTAAAAATTTTATTGATAAAAATACTGTACATTTACATTAATTAATTAGTTTTATTATATTCCTTCCATCGTTTTTATATATATAAAAAGTTCTCTATTTTCCCTGTTTTTGGGAATTCCTAGGGAATTTATTTCATTGTGCTACCACCTATTGAATTCTAAACATAAAATTTTCTCATAATATTTGAAAAGCAACTATTATGAGTACTTGAGTGGAAAGTATCACTAAATTTATTGAAATGATAATTATTTTTAAATATTTTTATGAAATCCTATGCAAATTATTTTGGTTTTGGTACTAATGATATTTATTGTAATAATATAAAAATATATTTATCTATCTAACTATGAAGGGAGTGACCAAAAATACTTTGCATATTTTCCGGGAAAATTGGAGGAATTTAATTAGGGAACTTTCATCCCTTGTAAAGTGACCGAACTCTATATGCAATATATTCTTATAATATATAATTATAATATTATCCACTAATAATATCCATTAAATTTTAAAAATATAATTAATTAAATATAAAATTTTTAGCTTAATAAATGTATTTTTTAAATATGTAATATTTAAGTATTATATACACGTATGATAAATGTATGATTAAAATATTACAATATTAATGTATTTTATTGATAAATAAAAAAATGCATGACCACATTTAAATAATATTGCTTTCATTTGCTTGAAAATAAAATAACTAAAACTTTAAAATAAACTATTTTAGTTATCACAAAAAAATATTAATTAATTTTTTATTTTTATTGCAATAAATTTTGGTTGATTAATTGTATTGAATTAATTATATTCTATCAAGTTTTCTATTATGTATAAAATGTGTTTTTGTAATTTTTATTTACTTAAAATTTATTTATAAAATAACCAAAAAAAATATATTATATTTATATATACAAACAAAAATACAATTAAATTTATTTTACTTTAAAATAAAATTAAGTTTTTAGAATTATAAAAAATGAATAAAAATATTTTGAAATTATAAAGTATTTAAAGAGTTTAGTGCAATAATTATGACAAAACTAATGATCAAAATTAACAAACAGTCTATAATTATTGACCGCAAACTATAATATAAATTATTAATATCGTTGAATGAAACTGTTGGCTATGAGAGGTGTCTATCACTTAAATATTGATAAACAGTACTCATAAGTCAATCATATCCGCAAAGTTGACCCGACATTAGCTGATGGCAACAATAATATGATAATAATAATAATAATAATAATTTAGTTAATAAAAAGTTATCTATAAGTTAATTCAAATAAAATGATAATTAATTAGTTTTATTTTTATTATAAGAAATTATTTATTTATTTTTTGTAAATATCATAAATATATTTGTATATAATTTTTAACAAATTTATACCATTTTATCTTGTTATTTTTACATTAAATTAAATTATTATTTATATTAATACTAAGATATTTAAAAAAAAATTATGATGATTATTAAAGATAGGAATTTATAAAAAATAAATTAAATAATTATAATTTATACAATATATTATACAGTATTTATATTGTAGGATATTATAAATTAAACAATTTTTAAAATTAAATTATAAAATACAAAATATTTGTTTATAATCTTTTTAACAGTATAGTATTTTTAATAATTTTTATAAAATAAAAATAATAATAAATATAAAAAGTTAGTATTCATTAGTGTTAAACAATTAATACTTTAAACTAAAAATTATTTTTAAACTTAATGTGTATTTAAATATCAAAATATTTAAATCAAAAAAATTATTTAACATTTATTTCTATTC